CCTTCTTCTTCTTTATCTTCTCCTCCTCCTCGCCCCGTGGACTCCCGGAGAATGAATGCTCGTCTGTCACCATGTCCTGTCACCCCGCGGAAATGTCGACGATTTTAGGACAGGGGGATTGCGCCGGCGCATCCTTCGTGCGGAGCTCGGGGAGAGGCGAAGGATGAGACTGGGTGGGTGAGCCGGGCGGGAAGCAGGGGCGAGGAGATCGAGCGCGCGATGGATCAAGGGCGCGAGGAGGTGTTTAAGGATTTCCACCTGCAGCCCAGCGCGTGGAATGCGGCTTGGGAGCAAGCGCAGGGCGCGGTGGTGCCGTCCATGGAGATCAAGCGCGCGGCCAACATTCTGGTGTGGTGCGAGCAGGCGCAGCAGAGCATGGGCTGGCTGTTGCTGACGCAGATCGGAGTGCTGCTCGGCTCGTTCGGGCAGCTCATGTCGCGGGAGGTGTGCGGCCTGAGCTGGGGGATCTTCACCCTCGAGGCCATCCTCAAGTACGGGCGCAGCTGGGCGCACATCCTCTACTTCCGCGGTGTCCCTTGCGCCATCGTCGCGCTCCACGACAATAACCGCGACACCGCTTCCGCCTCCCTCAGGAAGTTCGGCTTTTTCGTGCTCATTGCCACTCTCCTCGAAGCGGTTCTCTACGTGTTTTACATCATATACACCGTGAAATTCTGGCGCGCGAATCACCATTGCTACCACAAAGACGCGGGATGTCCCGATGGCACGACCAATCTGATGGATATGCTCATCATCAGCATGGTCATCGTGTGCGTGCACTGGTCCTCGAGCCTGAGCACCGTGCTGGCCTTCATGTACGCCATGGGGATGGGCATCAGCGCCCGAGCCCGGGACAGCAGGAGCTGGTTCCGATGTCTCTCTCCATTTCTCAAGAAACGGGAAGAGAGGGATCGGCTCATGTGCCTGACCTGGTGGGTTCACATTGCCCGGCATCGGCATCTGACGGCTGTGGTGGCCAGCGCGCAAGACTCCGACTGCGGCCTGCCGGGCCACTGGTTCAAGAGCAAGGAAGAGCTCTTCAGAATCGTCGAGGAGTGTGACAAAGGCGACCACGTCCATCTCGACACGTCGCGCCTGCTGTGGGTGTCGCAGGAGATGGCGCTGCGGGCTCTGATCAGCCTGGCCAAGCTGAAGGAGCTCGGCAAACACGACGATTTTGCGCTCCTGGTGCGCGTCGTGCGCGACGGGAGAACCGAGTCCTGCCGCGGCCTGGCGGCGACCGCCATCGCCGTGCTGGCGACGCAGCCCAAAGTGTTGTTGCTGAGCGATCTGACCGAGGCCGTGGTGCCGCTGAAGCGCCTCGCCCGGTCCGAGGCCGTCGAGCACGTCGAGGTCGCCCTCGGGGCCCTGCTCAATGCCTCGCTCCACGGAAAATCCCACGAGGTCATCGACCTCATTGTCGACAGCAACATTCTCGACAGCAACGAGTTCGGCAGCAGCTTCATGTCGTGCCTCATTCGGCACGCCCACATCGGCAAATCCACGCTTTGTCAAGAGCTCGCCGTCCGCTTATTGAGCCACCTGGTCGGGAAAGGGAAGCGCGCTCGAGAGGCGCTCATGTCGTACAAGCGCGAGCAGGGAGGAGTCCCAGACGTGCAGCTCTGCACCGCCTTGATCAAGCACGGCGTGTCGGATCCGATCAAAGCCGGCGGGGCGGCAGTTCTCGCCGAGATCGCCTACTGGGAAGACTGGGAGGTCAAGGGGAGCGACCCTCACATCGAGGAGTGCATTCAGGCGCTGGTCAAGGCGCTCGAAGTGACGACGGCGAAATTGATCATCGTCTCGGCCGCCAAGGCCTTGTGCAGCCTGGCTTACAACAACCAGGACGTCCAAGCCACAATCGTCAAGGCCCAAGGCATCCGTTCACTGGTGAAGCTGCTTGAAGCCCCCCTTCCCGACTCCGGCCCCAATGACATTAACGGCCAGGTCTCCCCTCGATCTGGTTGGGTCCTGATTTATTCGCCAGTCTTTGCTTCAGAGTTTTGGGGCGATGGCGGGCGAGGACTAATGATTGTATCACAGTATTGAACAGATTTCCTCGCACACAGCTCGATGCAAATTACACTCTGTTTTGATTTCTGTGGGCGAGGACTTATGATTGCTTCACAGTTTTGTACAGATTTCCCCGCAACAGCTCGATGCAAATTACACTCTGATCTGAGTTTTGTGGACCTCGGAAGAATGGGTGAGTGAATGCGGGCGCCATCACCATTCGACGTTCACTGACTCAGCCGATTCAACGTGCGCAGATCCCCCGCGAGGAAGACAATAAATCGACCGTCACTCCTGGAAAACCTCACCTCGAAGTAAGCAAGCGTTTTGATTTCTCCAGACTGAATTGCAATTCCACTCTGAAGTTGGTTTTCTCATACTGACAGAACGAACTCCACATCAGAAGACTGGAATCACCGACTGTACTATACAAACATGTGATCAGCTCGATGTCACTTTCCGGCTGTGAACTTGATGGAACATGGGCCGGTGATTTGGTTTCGGAAGCTTTGAAGATTTGGACTTTTGTGTGGTTTAGAAACGCGGACTACTTGATGAAATGCTGAGGAAATCGGAATGACCACGTGCAGGAGGATGTTGGAAGCGATGCGGCCAGGGCTTTGCGAATCCTGGCTCTCAACAATCCCCAGCACCAAATGCAGATCGCAAATGCGGGAGCGATTCCTCCGCTGATAAAACTGATGGCCAGTAGTAGACCTCTCAAGGTGCAGGTCCAAGCGATAGCTGCTCTGTCGGGTCTTTCCTTCCAATGCCCGACCATTAAGACTTTGATAGGCAATGGGGCCGAGGGCATGTTCTTCTCGAAACTCAGAGATGTTCTGAGATCCAATGAAGGCCATGACCCCATGGCCGAGCCTATTCTGGAGAAAGTCGCTCATCTCACCCAGACTCTGGTCGAGGGGAATGAGTCGAATCGGCAGAAGGCTGTGGACCAGGGCATGAGGGAGAAACTTGGAGATTGTATCAAGAAAAGTATTTATAAGAACAACGGGAAAGCCAAACAAATCGTCGACGGGGCTTTAAAGATCTTATCGGAGGAACAACGGAGGAACAACTGACATGATCAGGTCCAGCCTTTCTTCATGATCCAAACATGCCCCGTCCTGAATCCGAGCTGCAATGGCATGGCGGGAACGGTATTCATAGCGCGATTCAGTTGTGTCTGTTTGGGTTTGGTGAGAGAAAGATAGTAGGTAGTCGAAAGATTCGACATTACGAGATGAACTCCGGCAGTGCTCCGAAGTGACAAATCGGCTAAGAAGCCACTGACGCATTTGGTTCTCCGCGGATTTGGTTTCGGGTGATGAGAATTTGTTTGTATTTGTTTGTAAACGGTATACAGAAGTGAGTGTAGTTCACTTCATCACGTAACTAAGCGCTGAAACAAACCAAACCCAATTCTCTTCCATTTGAGAGTCGCTCAGCTTTTGAGGACTAAACTACGAAGAACCTGAAGGTGGACGGTTCGTATATATTCTATCTGAAGAGAGAACATTAGCAGGGCACACACATTAAAACAAACGCTTGTAATGTACACATTGTATATACGATTTCTGCGGAACATGCACTGATGACTTTGCGTGAAAGGTATCGATGACTATGCGTGAGCTTACTGCGTCCGTTTAGGTCGGTTGGAGAAAGTCCTCGTCTCTGTATCTCGTAGTTCCGATTGTAAAATATGATTTTGCTTGGCAGAGGGGACAGGTGTGGGGTTAGCGTCGAGGATGTAGTTCGTGTCACTTTTCCAGTTGTTCGCTACCATTTTACTGCGTAGGTGAGCATCGATTGTGGAGAGGAAGGGTTGCTTAGGCATTCATTCACTCATCAATTCTAAGGCAGTGTGAAGTGTCCAGAATTTTTCTAACCTCGATGAGCAAGTGGAAGAGAACCCGAAAGCGTGACCTCCTGGAAGACATCGGCTCTCGTCCAGTGTCCACTTGGAAGAGATCGATCATTTGGAAGAGATGGAACTAAGCTGGAAATGATGGGTTCTTTCCATACTTTTTGGTTTACTCCTCGCTCCTTCTCACTCAGATGGAAATTGTACTGCGATTTCACATAGGGTCGATCAATCTGCACCAGATGAACTCCCCAGGGTTTTCAGCATTTTGTGCTGATGAAACACGTGATCACCTCGTCAAAGTGCTGGACTCTGAAAGCAGGGAGCGTACTTCTGATAGCAATAACACACTGTGCCTGGTATTCACTACTTGAAACCACTTTGTTGGCATAATGTTGGACTAAGGCCACAGCCACTCGTGTCCAGAGGACAGAATGAGGAAGTTTTCGGATTTTCAACTGATGGAAGTGAGAAAAACAAGCAAGGAACAAATGAATCACGTTCATATGTTCCCCTGCATGACATTCCTAGAGGAGAAAAAACGAGTCCGCATGAGAAGCTCGAGACCTATCCCCATGGATATAAACCCTCATGGGATCGAAGAGTGTTTTGATTCCTCTCATGCCGCTTATGACACAGACTGTGCAGGCAGGTGCTGAATGTCACGGGGGTGACAGCATTCTACGTCCATCTCCGACTTTTTCTCCCTCGGCTTTGTTCCGCCTTGGCTGGAGTTTGTTCTGCATCTAAACAGCATACCGTTGTCTCAGGAGGTTCAATGAGAGACAGGAAGTAATAGAGGTTCTTCGTTCCTGAATCACTTTATCTTCGAAGATCGGATTTCGCATACACACCGATTGCAATGTAAGAGTTTCTATGGAGCAAGCTAAAATGCATACATAGCGCGAGAACGATATTGCTCGAACTGCAGTTTGTTTCCAGTAGTCATCGATCGAGGATTCTCACTATTCCATGAGATCCGAAAAGTTATTGTCACCCCAGAGGTGACAATAACTTTTAATAATTGCCACTCTCCTCGAAGCGGTTCTCTACGTGTTTTACATCATATACACCGTGAAATTCTGGCGCGCGAATCGCCATTGCTACCACAAAGACGCGGGATGTCCGATGGCACGACCAATCTGATGGATATGCTCATCATCAGCATGGTCATCGTGTGCGTGCACTGGTCCTCGAGCCTGAGCACCGTGCTGGCCTTCATGGCCGCCATGAGGATGGGCATCAGCGCCCGAGCCCGGGACAGCAGGAGCTGGTTCCGATGTCTCTCTCCATTTCTCAAGAAACGGGAAGAGAGGGATCAGCTCATGTGCCTGACCTGGTGGGTTCACATTGCCCGGCATCGGCATCCGACGGCCGTGGTGGCCAGCGCGCAAGACTCCGACTGCGGCCTGCCGGGCCACTGGTTCAAGAGCAAGGAGGAGCTCTTCAGAATCGTCGAGGAGTGTGACAAAGGCGACCACGTCCATCTCGAGACGTCGCGCCTGCTGTGGGTGTCGCAGGAGATGGCGCTGCGGGCTCTGATCAGCCTGGCCAAGCAGGAGAAGCTCGGCGGAGACGACGACAAAGCTTTCGCCCTCCTGGAGCGCGTCGTGCGCGACGGGAGAACCGAGTCCTGCCGCGGCCTGGCGGCGACCGCCATCGCCGTGCTGGCGACGCAGCCCGAAGTGTTGTCGCTGAGCGATCTGACCGAGGCCGTGGTGCCGCTGAAGCGCCTCGCCCGGTCCGAGGGCGTCGAGCACGTCGAGGTCGCCCTCGGGGCCCTGCTCAATGCCTCGCTCCAGGACCATTCCCACAAGGTCATCGACCTCATTGTCGACAGCAACATTCTCGACAGCAACGAGGTCGGCAGCAGCTTCATGTCGTGCCTCATTCGGCACGCCCACATCGGCAAATCCACGCTTTGTCAAGAGCTCGCCGTCCGCTTATTGAGCTGCCTGGTCGGGTCCAGGAAAGGGAAGCGCGCTCGGGAGGCGCTCATATCGTACAAGGGCGAGCATGGAGGAGTCCCAGACGTGCAGCTCTGCACCGCCTTGATCAAGCACGGCGTGTCGTCTCCGATCAAAGCCGGCGGGGCGGCAGTTCTCGCCGAGATCGCCTACTGGGAAGACTGGGAGGTCAAGGGGAGCGACCCTCACATCGAGGAGTGCATTCAGGCGCTGGTCAAGGCGCTCGAAGTGACGACGGCGAAATTGATCATCGTCTCGGCCGCCAAGGCCTTGTGCAGCCTGGCTTACAACAACCAGGACGTCCAAGCCACAATCGTCAAGGCCGAAGGCATCCCTTCACTGGTGAAGCTGCTTGAAGCCCCCTTTACCGACTCCGGCCCCAATGACATTAACGGCCAGGTCTCCCCTCGATCTGGTTGGGTCCTGATTTATTCGCCAGTCTTTGCTTCAGAGTTTTGGGGCGATGGCGGGCGAGGACTAATGATTGTATCACAGTATTGTACAGATTTCCTCGCACATAGCTCGATGCAAATTACACTCTGTTTTGATTTCTGTGGGCGAGGACTTATGATTGCTTCACAGTTTTGTACAGATTTCCCCGCAACAGCTCGATGCCAATTACACTCTGATCTGAGTTTTGTGGACCTCGGAAGAATGGGTGAGTGAATGCGGGCGCCATCACCATTCGACGTTCACTGACTCGGCCGATTCAACGTGCGCAGATCCCCCGCGAGGAAGACAATAAATCGACCGGCACTCCTGGAAAACCTCACCTCGAAATAAGCAAGCGTTTTGATTTCTCCAGACTGAATTGCATTTCCACTCTGAAGTTGGTTTTCTCACACTGACAGAACGAACTCCACATCAGAAGACTGGAATCACCGACTGTACTATACAAACATGTGATCAGCTCGATGTCAATTTCCGGCTTTGAACTTGATGGAACATGGGCCGGTGATTTGGCATTTGAAGCATTGAAAGATTTGGACTTTTGTGTGGTTTAGAAATGCCGCCTACTTGTTGAAATGCTGAGGAAATCGGAATGACCACGTGCAGGAGGATGTTCGAAGCGATGACGTTCGAAGTGATGCGGCCAGGGCTTTGCGAATCCTGGCTCTCAACAATCCCGAGCACCAAATGCAGATCGCAGAAGCGGGAGCGATTCCTCTGCTGATAGATCTGATGGCCAGTAGAAGTCCCAAGGTGCAGGTCCAAGCGATGGCTGCTCTGTCGGGTCATTCCTTCCAAAGCCCGACCATTAAGGATATGATCGGCGAGTGTGACGACGGCAAGTTCTTCTCGGGACTCATGGATGTTCTCAGATCCAATGAAGGCCATGACCCCATGGCCGAGCCTATTCTGGAGAAAGTCGCTCATCTCACCCAGGCTCTGGTCGAGGGGAATGAGTCGAATCGGCAGAAGGCTCTGAACAAGAACATGAGGGAGAAACTTGGAGATTGTATCAAGAAAAGTATTTATAAGAACAACGGGAAAGCCAAACAAATCGTCGACGGGGCTTTAAAGATCTTATCGGAGGAACAACGGAGGAACAACTGACATGATCAGGTCCAGCCTTTCTTCATGATCCAAACATGCCCCGTCCTGAATCCGAGCTGCAATGGCATGGCGGGAACGGTATTCATAGCGCGATTCAGTTGTGTCTGTTTGGGTTTGGTGAGAGAAAGATAGTAGGTAGTCGAAAGATTCGACTTTACGAGATGAACTCCGGCAGTGCTCCGAAGTGACAAATCGGCTAAGAAGCCACTGACGCATTTGGTTCTCCGCGGATTTGGTTTCGGGTGATGAGAATTTGTTTGTATTTGTTTGTAAACGGTATACAGAAGTGAGAGAAGTTCATTTAATCAGGTAACTAAGCGCCGAAACAAACCAAACCCAATTCTCTTCCATTTGAGAGTCGCTAAGGTTTTGAGTACTAAACTACGAAGAACCTGAAGGTGGACGGTTCCCATATATTCTATCTGAAGAGAGAACATTAGCATGGCACACACATTAAAACAAAAGCTTGTAATGTGCACATTGTACATACGACTTCTGCGGAACATGCACTGTAAAGCTCGATGCAAACATTGAAAAAAAAGGTTGTAGTGTACACTTTGAACACAGGATTTGTGCGCTTTGCAACACTGAAATTACAAACGGTTGGCTATATCAATCTGCGCGGACATTAGAATTCGCATCTGAGCATATTATTGATAAGATGATAGTAAACTTTTCTCCCAAATTCTCTTTTTCTCCATATTGATCTCTTGCTCATTGCCGTATGATTTCTGTTCAGGCATATGATCCAGGTTCAAATATTTACAAATAAATTTCAACAATTGTGACGGGAAAAACAACAGCCTGACATATATCGGTCAATTTGAACATCTGCAACATCTGATTCTGCAAAACATGTCTATAACTACCGACACAAACATGATTTCGACATTCAATGCTGAAACATAATGTTCTGATGTTCCTAACGATTTGGTACTATCACATGTAGCGTCTATGGTGGAAACTATCATCTATAGTATCCCTTAATATTTATAAGTAGGAATGGTTATTTTAGGCTACGTTGTACCATATTATCTAAAATTAACCAGCGTACCTAGACTCTAATTGGCTCCGAGTTGGAGCGTGGTAGATCTCAGCTGGCTTACAAGACTCACAGCCCGAACGCAAGCCCAGCGTGATGGTATCTCTCTCTCCCTTTACCTCCGAACCTGTCACTCGTTCTTTAAATGCACCGGAGTGATCTTCTAGCCCAAAAGCGTCTAAATTAACCGAATTGAATTGATACGACTAAATTAAGCTAATTAGTTACTTTAGGGGAAGTACTCATATAACCATACTTGTTTATAAGTCATACAAGGTTATTGTAGACCGTATACGACGAGGCTTAAATTACCTAAAGTATGACGCATTTCAGCGTCTAAATTAATGTGTCAGGGGCAATCAATGGGAAGAGGAGTCTGTGGGGCAACCAACAGAGAAAAGGAAATTAAACGTAAACGTGTCGATCTTGACAAGTTAACTTTCAAGAAGTTTAGGAATGGTAGACTCAAAAGTTGAAAGTGCAACTCACATTTTCACCAATTCATTCTTTTCTGCTCGCTGTTTAAGGCGGGAGCTGGTCACTGCTGCAGACATCGATCTTGCTGGAAGTGTCGTGGTGAACAAGTCCAAGCTAATCAGACTTTGACTTTGTGATTCCTCTCGAGGAAGCAAAAGTCGATTTCGGATTCCTGTCCATGGGCGAGTACAATTGGTGAATTCTCTTTGCAGTCCTACTAGTCCTCTCTGGTCTTCACCTCCTATACTCATTTACCAGCAGCCCCCAGCAGAACGATTCCCCGAGCGCTCATGCGGGTGATATTTACACTTTGACCTCATCAAGCACAAATAATATTATTCGGTGCTAGAGTTCTGCGTATTGCATGGAGCTTAGTTCTTAGTACCGCATGCAACTAATCTTATTTGGTCTTCGTACAGTGATACATCCGCAGCGAGCGAGCCCAGCCCACATGAGCTCGCGGTATTTTATTGCCTACGTTGAGGTGAAAGATTATACCTGGGCTCTGAGATGAATCGCAGCAGATTGCAAATTAGTTTTTGGTGAGTTTAAAAACTGGTCATAGACGTAGATATTAATTTGAGAGATATTGATTCACTCTCAGTAATTTAGTTCGGTTGAATTTGTTTCTCTTTTAGAGTCACCATCGCAAGCAAGTTGACTCTGTTTTTGCTCAACTGTGGAGGTGTTCATAAATCGCGAGAAGGAGAATGAAGTGAAAAAACAAATATCTTCGGTCCTAACACCTGGTCGATCCGCGGATTTTGAGTACGTAGCGCTTACGCCATTTCTAGTTATATGAATTTGAGAATTGAGTCAAACTAGAAAGTTGACTGTGTGTACAGTTCTGATCATATACTTATCTATAGGAATAAAGAAATGACGTCGGTATCGGGATTGTAATCTTGATGGTAAACATTCTACGTACCCCGCCCTCTTCCCTAGAGCTTGGACAATTTATGATGCTAAGCAACCTCAAAGTTCAATCCGTATCAAGTTTGGTGTTAGTTAGCTTTCGAGGGACCTCTTGTGTAAAGTAGCTGTACGTTTTCATTACATCGTTACTGTGGAAAATGTATACAGAATAATCATTGTTGAAGTTAAAGATGTATGGCAGAATCTCCCAATGTTCTTGTCAACAACTACTTCCCTTTGAAAGAAGCAATAGGAGTTTAGTCTTCTGTTAGGTATTTTTCTGCTTCCCAAACATGACCAGGCCTGATTAATGTCGAAAATCGGGCATACAATTATCTACATTAATTAGGCCTAAACTGCTTAATTAGACTCCGCCGGAGTGTCTACTTATGCCAAAAAAGTCAAAGGTAGCATAGTTCAATCGAGCCCATTTTACAAGGTGGAACATTGAAATTATTGAGCCGTTGTTATAGACGGCAAGTGAGGTTTCAGTGCATGGGAGTGATTCATAAGTGAGTGAGTAAAGAGGCTGTACTAAATTTTTGAGCTCTAACCTCGTCTGGCAATGGACTCCAAGATGGTGCTTTTGCTGCAAGGTAAGCATCTGCTTGAATTACCATACTAAACTCTCCAGATATGTCTTAAGCCTCTAGATTTGCTCTTGAGATTACGACGACAAAACGTTCACAGCGTTGTCTGTGAGATATCGATAAAATCTAAATGCGAAAGCGCAACAAAGCACAGGTTTCTTCCAAAAACTCTTTTCCTGATCCCCAAATGAACATTAGCACTGAAGAGCTATGATGTGTGGCATTCAGTTTAGCAACCAATTTGAAGTTGAGCCTTGTTCTGGGGCCTGATTTAAATCTCAAGGTAACTGCATCAGCCTCCAACTTACGTTGAATCGAGGAACAATTCTCTGACAGCGTCAAAATCAGTTGACCAACAAGTGTTCAGAGTCTCTTAACCATGTTCTGTTTCACTATTAAACTCTCTTGACCATTATCTGTTTCACTATCAAACTCCTGCAAAGCCGTGGATTTCATCGATAAGGATATGAATGGAACTTGCGACAATACAACGGACCGCCGTCCGCTACTCCTCTTGAGGGAAGGGGAGTTTTATCCTTCCACTGTCAATGTAGATGATGAATTCCTGACCATATCAATGCTCCAGATTTTCCAGAAGTAAGGGCTCGAAGCAAGAGAAAGACTTGTCATTCCCCACATCGTCTATGAGTTCTGATAGCCCGAAAAGAAAAAGCAAAAATGTGAGGAAACTCGCTTCTTGCTCTAGCGTCTCAAAAGGGTACAAATGTTTCAATAATTTGCACACATTGATTCCAGTCTAACTCACATTTACTCAGCGCCTAAACTAAGGTCTCCTGGTGCGACTAATTTAAGTTAATTTAGGCATCCGACTGGACTAATCAAGCCAGGTTATAACTAAACTTGTGAATGCAAAGCGTTAAGAACATTGAATGTATTTTCATCCCAACCTCTCTAACTACTGAGACTATTAAATTTCTGAGTGAGATATATAATTTGACCTTTGGACAACCCTTGCATATACTAATCATCAAATCCTGCCCCTCCATTTCAACTCGATAGTGAGCGTTTGCAAGTCTCTCACATGATTGTTTTCAGACTTTTGAATCATCAACCTGTAATCAACTGGTGAAATGTCAATCTGTTTGAAAGGAATTTTCACGCTAGACATTCTGTTTTAAATATATAATGTTTTAATGTTATGTGATAGTAAATTATTCACATTATTGAATGCATGCAGTGCAATTGGAAGAAGTAATACAAGTTATAACTTTGTTTAAAGATAACAAGTTATGACAATTTATGTTGTGATTTTCACTTCATCGTCTTGTGAAGATTATGAAAAGATATATAATTATCTTTCTAGATGATAGCCGAATATGATTCAAGTAAAAAAGATCATTTACAAATGTCATGTCTCTTTTTGTGTTAATATAGCTAAAAATATATGAATCTATAACTGCAAACTTTGACATATTTGTAAAAAAAGTGCAGAAAAGTGCATTTTATTATGTGGTTTTCCTAGGTTATGTGTTGTGATGGTTAAATTTTTTTATCTGCCAACACTATATATAAATGATAATGATGATGAAACATCCAAAAAATTTATTTTTTAAAAGGTTTGATACTTTCAAATCAAATACAATAAATTTTGTAAAAAACACAACTCATTAAAGTAATTAAGTTGTTTGTTCGTGATTTTTTAAAATATTTAAACCTTATTATTCTTGATTTTTGTTCTTTTTTTGAATCTATTACACATATATTAAATTGAAAAGTATATCTATTCTCTGTTTATGTGAAATATTTAATATTCTAGTCATCGTAAGTTTAGCGGCATAACAATTAGTGATCATGCTTTTTTTTGGATATCTAATAATTTGTATTAATATATTTTACTTGTAATTTAATATTCATCAAACAAAGTCAGATTCATTTTATTATTTAAATAAAAACATCGAATGTGAAAGCATTAATGCTATGGAGTTTATGTACATATCAGTTGAAATTATGTTGTTAGATACTCGATATTTTGAAAATTAAAAAATATTTAAATTAAATTGTAAATCCAATTAGGTTATTCTTCAATAGAAATGATGTAAATCCAATATATTAAATTTAAATTAGAAGATTTTATATTAAAAAAATTCATATATTTGTATATTTATATTATAAATGTTCATAAAATTATTTTAAAGTCTTTCATTCACAGTACAAAAATTTTCAGAATTCATAATAATAAAAAATGTAAACTGCACATTCAAATATAGGTAATAAATAAGATTTAGATATTATTAGAAAAATTTAGATTTTAAATTGAAAATGTCAAAGATTATTATATATGAAATATTTATTATAAAATATAGATTCATTTAAAAAATTAAAATTAAGTAAATAATTTAGGGTCTAATAATCTAGATATTTGACTAGAAGCTTGGATTTGATTGGTTTGATTCAATATATGAAATATGATTTGCTAAATTAAATCTAAGGTTGATTTAGTGGCTAAGAAGCTTGTAGAAGTTTAAAAGCTTCCAATGGCATGTCGCTACCTCAACCTTGGATTCCAAAGACTTCTAGAAGGTTTAGCTAGGCCAATGACATGTTACCACGTATAGTGAGTTAGTCAAACTTACCTAGGTAAAAGTAAGTTAAGAGAAATTACCACATGTTACTATGATAACTTCACAAGTAATATAAATAGAGAGTTAGAATAGCACCTCTAGAGCAAGTTTGGAGAGTCATGTGTGAGTACTTCTTTCATATATGAAAGAGTGACGATTTTCAATACCTTGGACTGTCGATGTGTGTGTGAGTTGGAGTGCTACCTTGAGTGATTGTGTGAGTGAGTGTTTGGGGCTATGAGTTTGAGGATGAATCCTAGTCTTCTAGTACCATTATGCGTTGCCGCAAAGCCATCTGAGGTAAACCCAAGTGAGAGTCAGCCCGGAGGTTGCAGACCTGTTCGGAGCTAGCATCAGAGCGAGTGATAGTTTAGCGTTAGGTAGGAATAATGAGATCCAAGGCATTGGACTTGAGTATCTTTTCTCAAACTTAATTTCTCTCAGTTTTGAAGTATGCATTCTCCGTGCGTTTGTGAGTTGAGTGTGTTGGTCACCGCGTGAGAGGTACTTTGGTTTGTCGAAGATACCGCATCCGAAGTAGTAGCCCCAATTCGAATGTTCTGAATAGCGATTGGCTAGAATCAAAATTTAAGCAAATTCCCAATTGGTAGTTGTGTGCAGAGTCCCTTAGTATACTCTTTGGAAATTTTCCCCCTTGAATACTAAGACAAGGTCAAGATCGACCTTTGTGTTGCTACATTTGATAATTTCTGGAGTAATGTGTGTATTACGCTGCATTGAATGTCCTTTGAATCGAACACCTGCAGTACTTCTGGAAGTGACATTGGCCTGAGAATTCAAACTCCTCAATAGGCAGTTAAATACGTGACACTTGGTACTCTTTGTCTTGTTTCTATCCTCAAGGGATTGGATCTTTACCATTATGCTCCATTTTGGTATTTATCTGTCATCACAATTTTCCGAAGAGTTGGACACAACTATCTTGCAATTCGCTTTCTTCTTTGGCCTAGCCCGGGTCTTTGACATCTTGTTTTGCGTCACTAGTGTCTCGGCCATCCGCTACTCTGATCTTCAGCCTTCTCCCCTTTCGTCAACATCCTTCGTTCTTTTCGCCGATCTCCTCTTTGACTGTAATCTGGTTGAGATTACATCCACATGAACTGGCCCTCGTGCTGTGCTTCGAGGTGGCTCTTTGGCTTGGACATTGCCTTCCTCCTCCGTGTCTTCGCCCGACTCAACTATCAACACATCGTGCTCCTTGGAAAATCGCTTCTCCTCATTCTTCGTCAACAACCCCATCCCTCGATAGACACTCACTAAGTAGAGTGTTATGTGGTTAATCAAACCTTCTTTCCATCTGGTGCTGACATTGATCCAAATTATGTCTGGAAGATCTTCGCCCAATTGGATTGAATCTACTTTCACTGTGCGTTCGAAGAAGCTGACTTGCCAGGCGATGACATAGGTTGTGCGTTGCGGTCGCAGAATGTGCATCACCCCTAACGCAATTGCACATCTCTTCGGGTACTTCTAATTCGTTGTCTTCCACCCATTTGTACTCGATCGCGCGTTCTTGAAGAGTGAAGCGAAGGTGAATTCTTCTACGCACGTGATTTTGACACTCTCCTCTTCGAACATGAAGCCTCCATACTTCTCTGCACATGATTGTAGAACCCTCGTCTAGTGGTCGAGCGTCCACAACATCAAATTGCACCCCGAGATTCTCATTCTCGTTCTGGTTGTTATCCATCATCTCCTTACATATGGTCGCCGAAACATAATTTCAATCCCATAGCAGGAAGTCCAGATGAAGTGCAATGAGTTGTCGTCAATAGATTCGCAACTCCGCGTTGAGCACCTTAAGCGGTATCAATTTCCGCATGTTAGCTTTCGTGGGAGGCGTCATGTCTCCAGTCGCGTCTTCGCTGCTATCAGGTCGATCAATTTCAATTCTCTCTCCCTTTATCTCAATGTCGCAATGTCGGCGCGAATGTGTTCGCTTCGTGCCCTTACCCTCGCCTCCTTAATGGTTTCCACACTCGCGCGAATTGGTATTTCCAACAAGTGCGGATCTTGACCAGCCCTTCGCGAATTCAAAGTGTGATTCGCCGTCTTCGTCGAAGGTCCGGCCGAAATTACATCGCCAAAAATGGTTGCGCCGATGGTCAGATGGCCCGAAGGTCTTTGGCCGAGGGCGGATTCCATTATCTTCTCCTAACTAACTAATTTTCATTAATCTCCTAACTTCTATGCCTAATGACTTATATGTATACGTTTTACCACAATTATGTTTAAGTTTTTGTTATTCATGGAAAAATTGAAAAAACTAAGCATCACAATAAGCACTATATTCTATATTTTCTAGAGGGCAATATTATATGTTAGAAAGTTAACTTTACTAGATTTTGAGTTAAGATGTTTCATGTGTGATATTCTAGGCTATGACACATGAGTAATATAAATTTATACCTCCTAAACAAGAGAAAATTGTTATCTGACATTTGTGAAATTGACTTAGAGTTTTGCAAATATTATATCACGAACAAGTATCATAACCAAGTCTTTAGTGTTGAAACTTGCAGTTTCAAAGAGCTACTTGGGTATGTACATAGTGACTTGTGGATATTCTCTCCTAAAGTCTCACTCTATGAAAAGTTATATTATATATCATTTATTAGTAATTACGCAAGGTTTGTGTAGATTTATTTTCTCACACACAAATCTCATGTGTTGACAACTTTCAAAAGTTGGGAAGTTCAAGTTGAGATTCATACTAGACACAAGATGAAATATTCAAGTACAAATAATGACACGAAATACATTTTTGAGTAGCTTCAAAATTATTGTGAAGAGTAAAAGATTATTTGTCAACTCATCACGGTTCGTACTCAACAATAGAATGTTGTTTTTGAAAGTCTAAATTGAAGATAGTTTGAAAAGTTGTGTAGTATGTTGACACAATATGTTTTGTCACATGAATTTTGGGCTAAAGTTGTCAATACTGCACAATATTTGGCAAAACTTTCTTGTTTTACTGCAATCAATTTTTTTTCATCATTTGAACTGAAGCATAAATTTATGTTTCATTATAATAGTTTGAAATTTTTTGGTTATAGTCCTTATATTCATAAATCCAAAGAGAATAAGTGTAGGATTTTGGAAGCAGGTAGCGTAATTCTAATAGCTATTCCACACTATGTTTGGTACCCATTACCTGGAACGACTTTGTTAACATAATATAGGCCTAAGGCCACAGCCACCACGCTTGACAGAATGTGGAAGTTCCCGTATTTGAAACTGATGGAAGTGAGAAAAACAAGCTAGGAACAATTGAATCAGGTTCATATGTTAATCATGACATTTCTAGGGGAGAAAAACAAGCTCGCATGAGAATCTCGATAACTATCCCCATGAAAATAAACCCTCATGGAATCGAATAGTGTTTTGATTCCTCTCATGCCGAATGTAGATAACTATCCCCATGAATATAAACCCTCGTGGAATCAAAGATTGTTTTGATTCCTCTCATGCCGCTTATGACACATGCTATTGAATGTCAGGGTGTGACAGCAGTGTATGTCCTTCTCCGACTTTTTCTCTCTCTGCTTTGTTTCGCCTTGGCTGGACTTTGGCTAGGATGGGCACGTAGCCGGTTAACTTTCGGCTAGCCGATACAAAACGGCTAGTCAGCCAATCGGCTCTCGCCCGAAATGCAATCAACCGAAATATTTGTCCGAAATAAATGTTTATTGGATAATTTCGGTTGAACCTGAGCTGAGGAAATAATCGGCGAAAGCGAAAATTCGGTCCGAGTTCACGGTTCGTTTTCGGCCTCGGATAGAGGTAGCAATATTTATCGGCTAGCCGGCTAACAAAAATTATTAGCCGGCTAGCTGTTAGCCGAGCCGTGCCCATCCCTAACTTTGGCATCTGAACAGCAAATCGTTGTCTCGGGAGATTTGATGACAAACAGGAAGTAGTAGAGATTCTTCGTTCCTGAATAACTTTATCTTCAATTATCGCTCTTCACATACACACCGATTGCGTTGTAAGAGTTTCGCTAACGACTCTTCTATGCAGCAAGCTAAAATGCATACATAGCTCGAGAGCGAAATCGCTCGAACTGCAGTTTGTTTCCAGTAGTCATGTATCGAGGGTTCTCACTGTTCCATGAGATCCGAAAAGTCAATGTCACTCCAGAGGTCTGTTAATAATCTGCTTTCTGCTGTAATTACCACTGGTCCACTCGTTCCAGAGGTCTCAAAGTGAGAACAAACTTGCTTGTGAGCTCATCCGGAGCTACCGATGCCAAGTGGCAGGATCCAAGTCCTAACTAAAAGATAGTAGTCTTAATGATAACAATATATATGTCCAAATTATCTAATTTGTGTCATAAATTGGGAGAGTAATGTTTTCTCGAGAGGATGATGAACAATGATCCGATTAAATGATAACCTCCCCAAGTTAGAAGACAAAATCCGGTACATGTGGGAAAGCACCGAAGTTAGTACGCGAGCCACAAAAGTCAAGGAGCGGCCTCTGCATCGAGCGAGGCGCAGAGGTGCTATCGACTTTCCTCCTTCCAAGCGGCTGCCGACCAGTGGCCTCGGACTCCGGGGGCCCCGGGAGTCAAAGAGACCGTGGGACTTTTACCGTCGCACCGCTGCAAGTCCCAGATTCTCCCGAAGCTCAGTTGCGTTGCGAGGTCGGCGGATGATCGAACAGAGCTCGACGGCGGCGGCGATCGGTGGATGGAGTCCGCCTTCTTCTTCTTCTCCTCCTCCTCCTCCTCGCCCGGCGGATTCCCGGAGAATGAATGCTCGTCTGTCACCATGTCCCGTCACACCGCGGAAATGTCGAGGATTTTAGGCAGGGGGGACTGCGCCGGCGCATCCTTCGTGCGGAGCTCGGGGGGAGGTGAAGGATGAGACTGGGTGGGTGAGGTGGGCGGGAAGCAGGGGCGAGGAGATCGAGCGCGCGATGGATCAAGGGCCCGACGAGGACGAGAAGAAGGATTTCCACCAGCACTCGGGGCCCAGCTTGCGCGACGAGGAGAATAAGAAGGATTTCCTGCAGCACGTGAAGCCCAGCGGGTGGAATGCGGCATGGGAGCAAGCGCAGGATGCGGTGGCGCCGTCGAAGGAGATCAAGCGCGCGGCCAACACTCTGGTGTGGTGCGAGCAGGCGCAGCAGAGCATGGGGTGGCTGCTGCTAACGCAGATCGGAGTGCTGCTCGGCTCGTTCGGGCAGCTCATGTCGCGGGGCGTGTGCCTCCTGAGCTGGGGGATCTTCACCCTCGAGGCCATCCTCAAGTACGGGCGCAGCTGGGCGCACTCCCTCTACTTCCGCGATGTCCCTTGCGCCATCGTCGCGCTCCACGACAATAAGGACGACCACGACACCGCTTCCGCCTCCCTCGTGGTGTTCGGCTATTTCGTGCTAATGGCCACTCTCCTCGAAGTGTCGCTCTACGCGCCTTACGTCTACGCCACCCTCGGCTTCTGGCGCGCAAATCGCCATTGCGACGACGAAGGCGCGGGATGTCCCGATGGCACGACCCGTCTGATCGACATGCTCATGATCACCATGGCCATCGCGTGCCTGCACTGGGCCTCGAGCCTGGGCACCGTGCTGGCCTTCGGGGCCGCCATGGGGATGGGCATCAGCGCCCGAGCCCAGCGGAGCAGCTTGCCCCGATGTCTCTCTCGATTTGTCAGGAAACGGGACGAGAGAGATCGGCTCATGTGCCTGACCTGGTGGGTTCACATGGCCCGGCATCGGCATCTGTCGGCCGTGGTGGCCAGCGCGCAGCCCTCCGACTGCGGCCTGCCGGGCCACTGGTTCAAGAGCAAGAAGGAGCTCTTCAGAATCGTCGAGGAATGTGACAAAGGCGACCACGTCCATCTCGACACGTCGCGCCTGCTGTGGGTGTCGCAGGAGATGGCGCTGCGGGCTCTGATCAGCCTGGCCAAGCAGAAGGAGCTCGACAAGGACGACGATTTTGCGCTCCTGGTGCGCGTCGTGCGCGACGGGAGAACCGAGTCCTGCCGCGGCCTGGCGGCGACCGCCATCGCCGTGCTGGCGACGCAGCCCGATGTGCTGCCGCTGAACAGTCTGATTGAGGCCGTGGTGCCGCTGAAGCGCCTCGCCCGGTCCGAGGCCGTCGAGCACGTCGAGGTCGCCCTCGGGGCCCTGCTCAATGCCTCGCTCAACGAGCGATCCCACGAGTTCGTCATCGCCCCCATTCTCGAGAGCAACGAGTTCGGCAGCAGCTTCATGTCGTGCCTCATTCGGCACGCCCACATCGGCCACACCACGCGCTGTCAAGAGCTCGCCGTCGGCTTATTGAGCCGCCTGGTCGGGTCCAGGAAAGGGAAGCGCGCCCGGACGGCGCTCATGTCGTACAAGGGCGAGCAGGGAGGAGTCCGAGGCGTGCAGCTCTGCACCGACTTGATCAAGCACGGCGCGACGTCTCCGATCAAAGCCGGCGGGGCGGCAGTGCTCGCCGAGATCGCCTACTGGGAAGACTGGCAAGTCAAGGGGACCGACCCTCACATCGAGGAGTGCATTCAGGCGCTGGTCAAGGCGCTCGAGGCGGGGCAGACCATCGCCTTCTCGGCCGCCAAGGCCTTGTGCAGCCTGGCTTACAAAAACCAGGCCGTCAAAGTCACGATCGTCAGGGCCGGAGGCATCAGTAATCTGGTGGATCTGCTTAAAGGCCCCCTTCCCAACTTCGGCCTCCAAGACATAAACGGCCAGGTCTCCCCTCTATCTGGTTGGGTCCTGATTTATTCGCCAGTCTTTGCTTCAGAGTTTTGGGGCGATGGCGGGCTCGGACTAATGATTGTATCACAGTATTGTACAGTTTTCCTTGCAACAGCTCGATGCAAATTACACTCTGATTTGACTCCTGTAGGCGAGGACTTAGGATTGCATCACAGTTTTGTATAGATTTCCCCCGCAACAGCTCGATGCAATGTATACTCTGAGTTGAGTTTTGTGGACCTCGGAAGAATGGTGAGTGAATGCTGGCGCCATCACCATTCGACGTTACTGACTCGGCTGATTCGACGTGCGCAGATCCCCCGAGAGGAAGACAGTAGATCGATCGTCACTTCTGTAAAACCTCACCTTGAAGTAAGCAAGCGTCTTGATTTTTCCAGACTGAATTGCATTTCCACTCTGAAGTTGGTTTTCTCATACTGACAGAACGAAGTCCACATCAGAAGACTGGAATCACCGACTGTACTAGACAAACATGTGTCCAGGTCGATGTCATTTTCCGGCTGTGAACTTGATGGAATATGCTCCGGTGATCAGGTTTTGGAAGCTTTGAAGATTAGGACTTTTGGGTGGTTCAGAACTGCCGACTGCTTGTTGAAATGCTGAGGAAATTGGAATGACCACGTGCAGGATGACGTTCGAAGCGATGCGGCCAGGGCTTTGCGAATCCTGGCTCTCAACAATCCCCAGCACCAAAAGCTGATCGCAGAAGCGAAAGCGATTCCTCTGCTGATAGATCTGATGGCCAGTAAAAGTCCCAAGGTGCAGGTCCAAGCGATGGCTGCTCTGTCGGGTCTGTCCTTCCGAAGCACGACCATTAAGGATATGATCGGCGAGTGGGACGACGGCAAGTTCTTCTCGAGACTCATGGATGTTCTCAAATCCAGTGAAGGCCATGATCCCATGGCCGAGGCTATTCTGGAGAAAGTCGCTCATGTCACCCATTCTCTCATCGAGGGGAATGAGTCGAATCGGCAGAAGGCTGTGAAGCAGGGCATGAGGGAGAAACTTCAAGATTGCATCGACAATAAGAAAAGTAATTATAAGGACAATGGGAAAGGCGTCCACAGCGCCGAAAGGGCTTTAAAGATCCTACAGGAAAAACTGACATGATCAGGTCCAGCCTTTCTTCATGATCCAAACATGCCCCGTCCTGAATCCGAGCTGCAATGGCAGGGCAGTAACGGCAGTCATAGCGCGATTCAGTTGTGTCTGTATGGGTTTGGTGAGAGAAAGAACAATAGGTAGCCGGAAAATCCGACATTATGAGATGAACTCGGGCAGTGCCTCCGAAGTAAGAAATACTCCAATCGACTAAGAAGCCAATGACGGATATTGGTTCTCCGCGGATTTGGTTTCGGGTGATGAGAATTTGTCTGTAAACGGTATACAGAAGTGAGAAAAAGTTCACTTATGTAGGTGACTAAGCGATGAAATAAATCAAACCCAATTCTCTCACAATTGAAAGTCGCGAAGGTTTTGAGAAAATTAGACTACGAATAACCTGAAGGTGGACGGTTGGTATGTCTTCTCTGACGAGAAAATATTTGCAGAGATTGGATTGCCAAAGCTGTTGTCATGATACATCTTCGCACGTTCAACCTTCAACATCTTCTCCGTACTTCCACCTTTCTCCGGCACCCTAAACTTTGTTTGTACACTGTCTGACCAAAGCGTAGAACATTATCTGGCATACTGAACCTTGAGACACTTATAAACAAAGGCCGCGTTTAGTTATTCCTAATTTCCCTCACACAGCTAGAACCAGTCGATGCAATAGCAACTATGGGATGTCCGACCAATCAAGTCTAATTGACCCTAAGTGAGGATAACTAGCCTCTCCGTGAACCAAAGTTTGTAATGTACAAATTGCACATAGAGAGTTAAATTTCCCAAAAGAGTTAAATTTCCCAATAGTGACATCCGTTGTTTTTAGAGTTTTAAATCACTATTGGGAGCCAATCAAATCTAATTAACCCTAAGTGAGAATATCATATTTTCTAGAGTTTTAAATCACTATTGGAAGCCAATCAAGTCTAATTAACCCTAAGTGAGGATAAGCAGCCTATCCGTGAACAAAAGTTTGTAATGTACAAATTGCACATAAAGAGTTAAATTTCCCAATAATGACATCCATTGTTTCTAGAGTTTTAAATCACTATTGGGAGGTGTGAATCGCATGAGGTTGGTAAATATTTAACAGAAGATATTGATAAAAAATAAATATTTATTTCTTATCACAAGTATATGCTAATTATTTAGTATATCATTTTACGAATAGAATCATTATTGAAAATTTGTTTTTGAATTCAAATATCGAATTGTCTTTAGTAAACTTATCTCAAATATCAAAGGTAAAGCAAAGTTGATGATTCCAAGATAAATCATAGTTATAAATAGTGAAAAGTTGAGATTAGGAAATTCATAGAATAATTTGTGTCTTTTTTAACATATAAAATGGTTGAAACAACAAAATGTAAATAATTTGACAAGAATAAGAATGGACGAGGTTGTATGGTAGGATTATGTGGACAAATAAATTTCAATAACTTGAGGTTACATAACCACCATTTTTATCTAGAGAGAGCAAGTCTAGGATAACCAGGTGAAGTCAAGACATGTAACTTCGTGCAATTTTGCGCCATGTTTACGACGAGGAGTAGTCGAAATTGATTGGAATGAAAACAATAAAGAATCAAATTCTATTTATTTTTTTTAATTACCATTGGAACCATCACTATTAGATAGTATCATGTCATTATTGCAAATAGTGATATTTATTGGATAGATTTACAAGTTAAAATCTTATGGTACTTGAGTTCTATGTTTGTATTGGGAGGATGTTTCCAATAAGATATGACAGTATTCGGAGGTTTAACTGTAGCAAATGCACTCTACAACTCAATGCAATCATTGCAAAAAAGAGTTTAAACATTGTAATGTACACATTGAGCACATAATTTGTGCACTATGCAACACTAAAATCACTAACGGTTAGCTTTATCAATCTGCGCCGACATTGGAGCTCACATCTAAGTCTAATTGATAATATGATAGAAAACTTTCTTCTCGAACTATCTTTTCCGCCATAGCAATTTCTTGCTCATTGCCGTATGATTTATATGCAGGAAAATGATTCAGGTTCAAATATTTTCAAAGAAATTTCATCACTGATGGTAGTAAAAACAACACTCTGACATATATTGTTCAATTTCAGCATATGAGATTTTGTAAAAAATGCCTACAACTTATGACACAAACCTGATTTCAACATTCAACACTAAAACATCATGATTTCATGTTTCTAACGATTGGTACTATCACATGTAGCGTCTATTGTGGAAACTATCATCTATGGTATATCTTTATATAGTAGAACCTCTATAAAGTTATACTCCATAAATTTATAACCTCCAAAAATTTATCAAATTGTGCGGTCCCGGCATGGGACCAGGCCAAAAATTTATAATCTTATAACTTATCAAGTTTTGGCTGCCCCGAATTTTTTATAAACTTATATTCAGGTTGATGTGCTTTCCGAGCTACATTTGTACGACTATGATCGACTAAAGAAACTTGTAATGGTTGTCTGCCTAAGCTTTTGTTCACATTTGTTTGTTGGGTGCTTAAGTATCTGACGTGGGTTAGGGATTTTCCTGGGTTAAGTTGTTTACATTTTGAGAAGTTTTCTTCTACACAGTCCAACTTTATACAGTACGCCATGATACAGTGCCCTACACACCCCATTACAATACCACAGCCAATACACACGGAACCTGGGTATCAAACAACTTCTATGTCTTTTCGAGGTCCTGCATTCCTTGCCATAACCTTCCTAACCTTCCATACCTTTCTGCAACTTTCCGGATGGTTCTGAGACCAATCAAGCAAAATTAAATGAATCAATTTTAATAAACTCTAGAAACTTATCACCTCTATAAACTTATCAAAAAGGGCCAGTCCCAGCTTGATAAGATTATAGAGGTTCTACTGTACTTATGAGTAGCCATGTTTATATCACTCTGTCGCCTGGATTAGCTTAATTTAGTCTCATCAAGATAACTGATTTAGGCTAATTTAGGCGGCAAGAGAATTCAATCAAAGTTTAAAGGAAGCTGATTGAGTTCAATCGGCATTGTTCTTTACTTTGTCAATGATGTAATACAGTTAGGGAAAACTCTTCATTACATGGCGTCAATAGCAAATCCATGTTCAAAGTTATTTCAATTCAAGTTTGGTTTTGATTTGTTTGTGCTAACTTTGACTTTTAGGCGATGGTTTGGAGCTGTAAGTAATTGAATTTTGGAAGTGAGATTCAATAAACAGAAACCGTGAACTATTTACTCAAATATGCCTTGGAAAATACATGAACTAATCTTTTGCTAGTTTATGAACAGAATGTTTGGAGTAGTTAGTTAAATCTGGGTTAAAAATTGTTGTATCAAGGGGATATGTATGCAGCAATTCTTTTCATGGGAACCTAGCAGGTAGTTTAACTTATGGATGAGAAAGTATTTTCATATAAGAAAAACAATAGAATTGCGTACATTGCAATTTCTTAGTAGTATATTTTTTTCATCTGTATTTATGTCTAACAAAATTACTCTATCCACTCAACTATAATGCAGTTTGGATTGTCTGCCCAAACCTAAGTACTCCCTCCGTACCAAAATTATTGTTCGATTTTTGTTAAAACACCAAGATTAAACTCAAACATTCTTTTTTTTGTTGTTTTGCGATGCAAAAATGTAAATTTTTGAAGTGTTTTTCGGTTCCCAAAACTTTGAACTTTGGCACCCTCTGCAAGCGAAAGTTTTGGCACCAAAACCACTTTTGTAATTGCGTGTCATTTGCCAAACATAAAGTGTGTCATAAAATGCGGCGGCGGAAACGACTACAAACGTCCCCATATGAGCAAGGAGAAGCTGGCGCGACAGGGCCTTCTCCCGGATAACATTGCTTGTCCATTGGCACTTTACAACAGCGCTCGAGAGCGTTTAAACCGTCTAAACACAGCGTAATAACAATAGTACGATAAAAATGGGACGCAAAAAAACCGTTTATTGGACAATAACTTTGGGACGGAGAGAGTATATGCGATCTAAATCGTTGATAAAAGTCACTATTCTATCATCTTCTGTTGTATCAAAAGATAAAGATCTTTTGATAAACGGTTTTTTCTTAGACGGGTTGTCTGCCTATGAGTCATAAGTATTAAAGGCTACTGCATTGCATGCTTAATTTAGACAACCTTATACGGAAGCGCCTATGAATGAAGCGCCTAAGCAACCATGGGAATGAAAGAGAGTTGCATCCGGACGGTTCAGGTTTTGTAACAATAAGTTGTGAGTTCATCTACTCATAAGTATGTGTAATTTAGGTGACCATTTATGGAAGCCCCTAATTTGCTAAATTAAGGGGCCAAAACACGCCTAAATTGATGTGGATGGGCAGCCAATGAAGAGGGCATCGAGACATCACTGGGTCTAGACGGGTCAAATTTGAGTTCTTTGTCGATATTCTGTGATATCGGCATGAAATGAATCGGATGAGGATGAATGTCAAGTGCATTGATGGTATCGCTCGCTCATCTTGTGAGTTCCATTTTGGAAAAACTCGTCGCTCTTTTCTGCCCCTCCTTCTCTCTCTCTCTCTCTCCTTTCCTTCCTTCGCAGTACTCTAAGTTGTGTTTGTGTGTATCGGCATTAATAGGAGAGGAAAGGGGAGGAGGTAGAGTAAGCTTATCAACTACAAAGAGAGCAAAAGACAGCCATTGGCAAGATGAGCAGTCGGTTGTGTTAGCTCGGTCTCTAAAAAGTAGTGGAGGATTCGTGTGCACTTGTGAGAGATGAAGAGAGAGATGGAGAGTGCTTATTTGTGGTAGTTCAAATGAGAAAGAGAGTTGAAGAATTTGAAGTCTTGTGGGTTGTGATAGTAAGATTCTTTGTTTGAAAAAGGAAACCTTAAACCTGGTTTCAGCCAACTTGAGTTATTCAGAGACCGTTATGTTATGCTAGTCAAAGGCATTCTACGTACTTGTTGACGTCGAAGTCTGCGTGCATAATCTATCTGTGTTTTTTATGTTGCCGTGAATGTTCTCATAATTATTGATATCAGAACGTGTGACGAGATACGTGAGTGTGGCGTTGTGTTGAAGTTCCTGTTTGGCTCGGTCTTGATCGTTTGGATTGTTTCAAACAAGCACTGTGCACTACGACTCAGTGCACGTCGTAGGACAAGAATATGAATTTTTGGGAATTTCTACACATGAGACACGAATGTGACGCATGCACAGAGCAATACATGCTACGGCATTGTTGGGGTTGTGACTTTGGCAACTCCCGGTGCTACTGCATCTAAGAAGAGTGATGCGCCTTGCGTTTCGATCGCTGCTGTTGCCCGCCTTACAACATTTGAAGCTCGATGCAGTTGACCTCTTCCCCCTCTTACAACATTCGGAGGTGGATGGGTTTTGCTTGGAGTTTGTTTAAGACCAATACGGTGTGGATCTTCTTTTATACGTATTCTTATTGTTACATTGGTTTTTTTAGGAGTTGTTTATGGTGAGAGAAGGTGAAGGTAAGAAAGAATTATATGGTTCGTGACTTTGTGTAAGTGTGGACATGGAAGTTGTTGAATCTTTCCATGTAGCAGAGTAGAAAGCGTCGACTAGAAAGCCGTTGCATTAGAAACTTGGGCCGTGATTTGCAAACCTTGTTTGTGGAAGTTGTTGGAGAAACAAAGGTTAGAATTCAAGGAGGTATTCATTGAGTATTTCGTTGATATTTCCGTTACTGTAAGTGTGGAGATGGAATTTGTCGATTTTTTTCATGTAGTAAAAGAGGATTTGTCTACTAGAAAGCCGTTGATATTGCGTTACTGTAAGA